CTGTTTATCAATAAAATTTTGAAAAAAAAAAAAGAAACTGTCCTATTAATCAGTTTTGAAACTGTCTCATTGATACTTGTTTCTCAATAAAATAAAATAAAAAAAGAAAAAACAAAAAGAACAAAGCAGGTAGGAATGCTAGTGAATCAATCAGCTGGCTGAAGCCACAGCTTTTAAACTGAAGGCAGTTTCCACTTCACTGAATACATAAAACACACATCTGTAACACTTACCAATTGGGACTTGTTCAGGCTGGCTGAGAGACACAAATGCTGATGTGTCATCGATCCAGGATATCTGAATGTTACCTGTTAATACCAAGTTGAAAGTAAAGTGACCATTTGACCACCTAGAGAGCTGACAAGTGTTACTTGGTGTATGCAGTATATTTCAATATAGGCTAGAGCTCACAAAGAAAAGTTACTTGATCAAAATCTCAGCATTACAGGGTTAACCTGCTTCAAATTTAAACCCACCACAGCCACTATTTCTGTTAAAATTTTAAAAGAAAAATAACCCGTAGAAAATAAGCTAATGGAAATTTGTTTTAAAAACTAAAGAAAGATTCTTTCAGATTAAATCCTATAAACACTGTCATTCAGCCCATTTTATGTCAAGGTTGAAGACTTTTATCTTCTAAACAAAACTGAAGATAATATGTATTAAAAAACTAAAGTATTTCTTTTTAGAAACTGCTACTTTTTCAATGTTTGTTACACACCTCAATGATGCTGAAATTTGATCCCATTGTTAGGCAGAAAGAGGGTGTGAAACTTAATCCAACTACAGGATTAGATTGAAGCCTTTAGAAGGTGATTAGGATATGATAAACCATTAGAGTAGAACCCACAGGATGAAATCCCAGTAGCTCTGTGAGGAAAGAGAGGACAGACAGACAGACAGACAGACAGACACACACACACACACACACCTTCTTTCCTTTGCTAATGAGCCCTGCTCTGTGTGGTGATTCTGCCATCATCAGGCCATCCTCAATGTGTGCCTAAGACCTTGATCCTCCAGAATTGAGAACCAAAATAAACCTTTATAGAGTACCCAGTCAGTGGAATCACATTAAGAGCACAAGAAAACAGACTAACACATATACAAAATGAAAATCAAGAATAGAGAATAAGAATATGAGTCAGGAAAACAGTAGAAGTAAAAGAATTGATGTTGAGGGCCGGCCAGATACCGGGTTCGATCCCAGGTCAGCCATGTTGGTGGTCCTCCCACCCTGGGTGCTCTGAGACTGGGTGTGGTGGCACATGCCTGTAATCCCAGCATTCTGGAGGCTGACAACAGGAGGATCATTACGAGTCTGATCTGTGTAGTGAGATCCTGTAGACCCTGTACTAAATACATTAAAAATAAAATGATGTTGAAATTCAGGCCAAAAGACAAGGAACAAACCAAAACAGACTACAGAGGGAGAAACAAACAAAAAACACAACAGAGAAACTAATTACATGCACATGCAGAGAGGCAAATACTCACAGAAAGCAAAGCACAAACATAGTGGAATGGAGCCCACTAAGACAGGCAGACAGGAGAAAGGGCAGCAGGGACAGAGGCAGCTGGAGGAAACAGAAGGGAAAAGCACAGGCCTGGTGATTCTGCTACCACTCATTCAGAAAAAACAGAGGGCTGGACTTTACAAAAATGAGTAAACACAACCTGAATTTAGCAATGAAAAAAAAATTTGGTTCCTCTTAAAATTTTGGAAGGTTAGGATGGGGATGGGGTAGGATCCTGTTACATGGTTCTGGCTGACCTCAAACTAGCAGCAATGATCTTCCTGCCTCCCTCAACCTGTGTTGGGATTATAGGTATGTACCACCACAGAGTCAGGAATTTTTGAAAAGTGCTTTGTGGGCCAGTGAGATGGCTCAGCAAACTAAAGAACCTGCTTGGGCAGGCTTGGGCAGGTGTGGGAACTTTGGTTTGATCTCTAGCACCACATGCTACACCAGCCCCGCCCCTGCTGGCCAGAGTCTGGGCATGGTGGTGCATGCCTGTAATTCCAGGACTGCTGAAGCTGAAACCAGGAGGATCCCCAAGAGTCCAACCTGCATGGTGAGACCCTGCAACAACCAAATACATTAAAAAAAAAAAAAAAAAAAGGAAAAAGAAGTGTTCCGTACCACCAATGAAGAAAAAATAAGAATGCTGAAAAGTGCTTTGTGGGCTGGAGAGATGGCTCAGTGGACTCACTGTTGGCTACAAGGTAAGGCAATGTACTGACTTCCAATTACAAAAGTCACTTACTGTTATTTGGTTACTTCTCAACCCTGTGAATGTGAGTTGTCCTTTAGGTAAATAACGATAGCTAATTTGTATTGAGTGAGTATTTACCTAAGGTCACAATACCATTATTTTTGTTTTTGTTTTTTGTACCAAGGACTGAACTCAAGACCTTGCGCTTACCAGGCAGGCACTAATCAGCTTTTTGCTTTTTTTTTTTTTTTTAAATTAAAAAAAAAAAAACCACTACTGGGAACACTTTAAAGTTTGAACTAATTAGCCAATTAAAGTTTGAACTCATGGGGATAAAAATATAACAAGAAGAGAAACAACAAAAGCTTCCAAAAGAAATGAGCCTTGAAATTCAACTACATTTCCATATTATATATAAACTAAAAGGCAGGACTAAGACTTTAGAGAACATTATTCTATCTATCTGCAAAGAGCAGGGTCATTCTTTAAAATATAACTGCTTTTAGATATTTTTCTATAGGGGCTGGGGAGATAGCTAAGAGCCTGCTTGGCAAGCGCAAGGTCCTGAGCTCAATCCCTGGTACTGAAAAAAAGAAAAAGAAAAAGAAAGAAAGAAAAAAGAAAAAAACCCCCAGAAATATGGATCAGTGCAACAGAACAGAAGAAGTGGAAACAACCCCAGGCACATTCAGCTATTTGGCTTTTGACAAAAGGGCCCCAAAACATACAACGGAGGACAGAAAGTCTCTAATAAATGGTGCTGGGAAAGTTGGACATGCACATGCAGATTGGAGTCTAGACACACATATATCACTATGTACTAAACTATAAGCCAAATGGATCAAAGATCTAGGGGCTGGGGATTTGGCTCAGCGGTAGAATGCTTGCCTAGCAAGCTGGAAGGCCTGGGTTCAGTCCTTGGCACCAAAAACAAAAAATAAACCTCCCCCAAATGGATCAAATATTTAAATGTTAAAACAGAAACACTTAACTGCTGGAAGGTAAAATAGGTGAAACTCTTCAGGATATAGGATAGACAAGGACTTTCTGAATAGGACCCCAAGGGCATAAGTAGTATCACAAATCAACAAATGGGATCAAATTAAAAATCATCTGCACAGCAAAGGAAACAACAATGAATAAACCATCTATACAAGGGGAAAGAGATTGCCAGCTATTCCTTAGAGGATTAACATCTAAAATGTATAAAGAACTTAAAAAAAATTAGACTCCTCCAATAAAAGACCCAATCAAAAAATGGGCAACTAAAATGAATAATTTCACTTCACAGAAGAAAAAGTACAAGTGGCCAATAGATATATAAAAAAATCTTCAATAATGCTGGCCATTAGCAAAATGCAAATCAGAACAGCACTGAGATTCCATCTCACTCTATAAAGAATGACCATCATCAAGAAATCAAGGGACTCAGGTCAACAATTTCTGACACTGCCAGTCAAGCGGAAGACCCAATACTATTATGGACTACTGGACTCTTTTAGAATATTTTGCTGAGTTAACACACCTATAATATTCAAATGACAGAACTAAACAAAAAAGGGGATACAGATGAATGTCCATTTTGTATCTGTGTATTCAAAGTGGTTAGGATAGATATATGGTTACATTCTCTTAATGGATAGAGGGATTTGTTTGAATAGTGTTTGTAAATAGGATATCACGTCTGCATCTTGTACAGCAAATAACCACTAGGAAGAGAGTATGCAATATGTTAATTATTGAAACTGTCATACCAATTTGAAAAAAAAAAAGAAATCAAAAAATGCTGGCAAGGCTATGGAGAAAAGAAGAAAAAAAAACCTCTTCTACACTGTTAGTGTAAATGTATAACCATTATAAAATCAATATAGAGATTCTTCAAAACACTTAAGCTAGAAATTCAATTTGACCCCACCATCCCCTCCTAGGTATCAATTTGAGAGTTAAAAGTCATCATATTATAGGAGTATTGCATACCTATGTTTATAGCAGCAGTTATACAAGCTAAATATTAGAAACAGAATATATCAGTGGTGGTGAACCTATGATATGCATGTTGCAGTGGGCTGTTTGTTATTGTTAAAAGCTCTAAAAAGTTAGCCACACTGCCCTACATCAGCAGAGGGATGAATAAAGAAATGGGTTATTTTTACAAAATGGAACACTACTCTGCCACAAAGAAAGATAACCTTGCGTCATTCATAGGTAAGTGGATGCACTTGATACCATAATACAAAGTGAAATAAGATACACAAGTTTAAATATCACATGGATAGAGTAAATATTAAATTTACTCTAAATTTAAGAGTAAATTCTAAAATTTACTCTTAAAATTTAGAAGGACTTTTTTTTTTTTTTGGCTGGCTCAGGCTGCCTTAAGGGCGGGTCTGATGAGGCATGTGGAGCTGGGGATTGAACCACACGATCCTGGGCCTGACTGCGTTTGCATTAGCAGGGGCTTAAACAACTGAGCTAACCAGCAGGCCCCCTACCCTTTTAAAATTTCAGGCCGAGGAGATGGCTCAGT